ATGGAATTAATTCATTTTTATATACCATCTTAGAAGTCCTAGCACCCTTCATGTCATTCAGCTCATTCCGTGCCTACTGCCCCATCGCCCCTTTCCCACTTACCTTTATTACCCTAGACCAGGTATTCTATCAGTTTCTCCTGAGATTAGAGTTTAGTTTAGTTTCCTACGACACACCCAATGGTGATTTATCCCCCAGCCTAAGCAGCCTGTTATTTTAAATATGGCAAATGGGGGAAAAGTATGAAATAGAGTTGGTTAAACTATGCTAATGTAGCTGGTCACTGTAGAAAATGCCCCAAGCCCTAGCTACAGGATATTGTTTAAAGAAACTAAACAAGATATGTAAAAATAAACCCGTTTCATGACTCACAGGTGTGGCACCACGTGCTTCTCTGTCCGCTCTGAAGCCCAAAAGTCTGCGGACCAAATTTAAAGCTGCCAAATTCAGTAGAGTTATGCCTGCATACACGAACCTTGAATTTGGTCTTGCGTGTCTCCAAGCAAGACGTGTTTGGATGTCCTGTAGTATCCAGGGAAGTAGTGTTAATGTCATGGGAGAATCCTGTTGATCTAGTCCTCCTTGCTTTGATGTGGAGATGAGGGGTTTATCCATCTTCCCATGCCATTGTGAGATTAAATCATTCCTGAGCAATTCATCATTTTCTGTTACACAACCAGCTTGATTAGCTTAGCTTTAAACTGTAGACAGACAAGCTAGTGGCCTTCAGGGCATGAAAGAGGACACTTATCTCAGTAAGCTTTCATTTAACGGTTTTATTGTTTGCTTTTTGCCTTTTAATCTCTGTGTTTAAGGAGGCTAGGTGATAGAATTATAGAAATTAGTAATAATATCAACAATTTTCTTCCAATCTATTGGCATGTGCTAAATTTCTGTCTTTTTTGCGGCTTCAGTATTTATATGACCACTAGTGGGCATTGAATAAAAGGTTTTCTATGTGCCCATTAACGCTCTCTTAGAAGGGTGAGATAATTCTGTTAATTTAGGAAGCATTATTGCCTTCAGCTCCTTTCCAGAGAATGTTATTAATTTCTTTATATACAATGTAGTTGTAGCCCTGTTGGTCCCGGCTATTAAAGAAACAAGGTGGGTGAGATAATATCTTTTATTGGACCAACTTCTGTTGGTGAAAGAGACAAGCTTTTGAGCCATGCAGAGCACTTCTTCAGGTCTGGGAAAGGTACACCCAGCATCACAGCTCAGTGCAGGGTGGAACAGATTGTTTAGCATAACTAGACAGGACATTCTAAGGGACCATTCAAGGTAGAGTTGCCAGTTAACACCTCTGTAGTCCTAAGACTAAAAGAGGTGGTTAGTGGGTTTCAGCTTGTTGTAATAACCCATTAATTCAGTATCTCTAATCAATCCATGATGTTTAGTGTCTAGCAGAGTTAGGCCTTGTCTACACTATGAAGTTTTGCTGGCAAAACAGGGGGGGTGTACACACTACAAAGCTACTTTTGGCAGCAAAACTCTGCGGTTTTGCCAACAAAATAAAACCACTTCAGCCAGGGCCGGCTTTAGCAAGAGCGGGGCCCGATTCCTGGGGGCGGGGCTTGCTGCAATCGAGCCGCGCCACGGGGGGGACGGGAGAGACCTGAGCCGCGCCGTGGGGGGGACGGGAGAGACCCGCGCCGCGGGGGGAACCGTGCCGTGCCGCGGGACAGGACGGGGGAAGACCCGGGACGGGACCTGCGCCGCGGGGGGACGGGGGGGGAGAGACCCGAGCCGCGCGGGGGGGACTGAGTGTGCTGCTCCATTTGGGGAACAAAGAGCAAATCATTAACATGGAATACTCCTGTTCTGCCCTGCACTAGGAACACAACTGCAGTCTGCCTGCAGCTGTGGGGAGAAGGAGGGGAAGACTGCTGTGCTGCTTTGACATTCCTCAGCTATGGTTGCCAGCTGTCTAATCACACAAACCCAAACACCCTTACCTCGCCCCGCCCCTTCCCAAGGCCACACTCCTGCCCCCCCTTCTCTGAGGCCCCATCCCTCCTTCCTTCGCTTGCTCTCCCCCACGCTCACTCACTTTCACTGAGCTGGGGCAGAGGGTTGGGGTGCGGTCTCTGGGTTGGTGGGTGGGGCACAGGGGTTTGGAGAGTGGGAGAGGCCTCCACTGAGCATGGGGTTGGGGTGCAGGCTTTGAGATGGAGTTTTGGAGGGGGCTCAGGGCTGGGGCAGGGGGTTGGGCTGCGGGAGAGGGTTCAGGGGGTGGGCTCTGGGAGGGACTTTGCATGTGAGAGGGGGCTCAGGATTGGGGCAGAGGGTTGGGGTATGGGCTCTGGGAGGGAGTTTGGATGTGGGAGGGGCTCAGGTCTGGGGGTTGGGGTGCAGGAGGAGGTGTGGGCTCCGGCTGGGCCTTGCTTATCTCGGGTAGCTCCCGGAAGCGGTGGCATGTCTCTGCATCTCTTAGGCTCAGGGGAGGTCAGGCAGCTCCGCACGCTGCCCCTGCCTGCAGGCACCACCCCCGCAGCTCCTATTGGCTGCGGTGTTGGCGCTCAGGGTGGGGCAGCGCGCAGTGACCCCCTGGCCGCCCTGCGCCTAGGAGCCAGACATGCCGGCCGCTTCTAGGAGCCGTGCCGAGCCAGGGCAGATAAGGAGCCTGCCTGAGCGGACTTTTGGCTTGTTAAAAACTCCCAGATTGCTTTCAATAGCAACCCGGAGATTGAGGCTGATTCGGGGAGTCTCTTGGCCAACCCTATCCTCAGCACAGAGAGCTCAGGATGCTGCTCGTGGCAGCTGAGGAGGCTGTGGGAGAACTTGGAAGGAATCACAGAACCATAGGCAGGCAGAGCGGGCTGCTTTGGGAGAGACTGCTGTGCCGAGCAGAGCTGGGAGCTGACGTGTGGGGGTGTCCACCTCCCCTGCCTCAGAATAGGTCAGTCAGTCTGCTGTCTCCCCTGCCCCAGTCTCCTCTCCCTCCCCCCACACACTTCAGTTGAAAAAGCAGCTGACAATCTACTAGGATGCCCTGGAACAATGGGATTAAGAAGCCTGCATCGTGTGACGCTGTACCTGCCCCATGAGGCATTGCAAACCCTTCCCAAAGCACCTTGCAGCCAGTTGCACAGTGGGATAGCTACCCACAGTGCACTGCTCTCTGTGTGGATGCAAGAGCTGTTAGTGTGGCTGCACTCCGCCAACACAAGGAATTAGTGTGGACATGCAGCAGTGGCTTTAATTAAACTGGCATAACTTTTGCCAACAAAACTTTATAGTGTAGACAAGGCCTTGGGAATTTAAACCCCCAGGCTCGCCTTTTGAAAGTGTTGTGCAGGTTCCCCTTGAGGATGAGGACTGATAAGACAGAGTGATCACTTTGGCAATACTGGAACTCTTTTCACAACCTCTAATGTCCAAAAAATCATGAGTCCGGCTCACCAAATATCATGAGAATAGCTTTAAAAACATGAGATTATGTAAAAATAATAGATTTTTGTTTGCCTTCTGCTTTTTGAGCCTTCAGGGTGCACTGGGGTCACATTTTGAAGCTTTCTCCACAGCCACAAGGGCTAGAAATTTACTTTTTCTTTTAGAATGAAGGCTGAAATCATCACATATCCACTTGACTCCTAGAGCTGGAACTTCAATAATTACTATGCGACTCATGACAAAATCATGACAGTTGGCAACACTGCCAGGTGATAGGGTGTTTCTGTCTTTTATCATTGTCCTGTGTGAGTTCATCATGATTATCCGGTTTCACCCACATAGTTGTTATTGGGGCATTTAGTGCACTGGATGAGGTACACCGCATGTTGTGATAGGCATTTGTAGGATCCATGGATCTTGAAAGGTGTGTTATTGGAGGGGTATGGGGGTCGTAGTGTGGAGATGTCTGCAGGTTTTGCATCTGTTCTGGCAGGGCCTGGTGCCCCTTTGAGTTGGTGTGTCTGCCACCAGACCCTGCCAGACAGCCCTGGTAGAGCCTTCCCAAAAGTTGGGGGGCTAAAGCCCCTGCCCTCTCTATGGCCCCATCCCCACCCTCTGAGGCCACACTCCCGGCCAAGCCAGAAGCCAGAGCAGGCCAGGAGCCATGGACCCTCCACCTGCTCAGGGCGGAGGGAGGCGAGAGCAGCCCCCAGCCCATGTACCTGCCCTGCAGGTCCCCCGCCCAGGACAGGTGGAGGGTTCCCGGCTTCCCACAGCTGCCCACGTGGCTCTTACGCTGACCTGGCTCTAGCTGGGGAATGGGGCCTTGGAGATGCAGCCCGGCCATGGTAAGAGCCACACGGCCAGGCAGCTGTGAGGACCTGTGGAACCTCCACCTGCCCTGGGTGGGAGGTCCAGGGACGGGGACATGGGCCGGGGGCTGCTCTCAGGTCTTCTATCCTGGGCAGGTGGAGGGTCTGTGGTGCGGCACCCCCTGCTGCCCAGGCTCCCTGGCCGGGCTCCAGCTGCTGGCCTGGCTGGGGGGCGGGGCCTCGGGGGAAGAGGAGGGGCGGGGGGCCCTTGGTGAAAAGTGGAAGGGCCATGGCCCCTGGCGACCCCTATTCTGGCGCCACTGCTGCCAGAATAACCGATGCAAAACCTGCAGGGGCTGTGGGTCTATTACAGCAGTGGGTGGGTGAGGCTTTGTGGTCTGTGTTATGCAGGGGGTTAGATTAAATGATCACGATGGTCCCTTCTGGCCTTAAAGTCTGCGTCTAGGTTGAAATAGAAAAGTAATGAGGGTCTCATGTTCAAAGTGTGGGACCAGACCCTCAGCTGATGTAAACTGGCATCGCTCTATTGAGGTCAGTGGACCTACGCTGATTTACACCAGCTGAGGATCCCTTCAAGAAAAGGTCCTAAATATGAAACAAAGTGTTCTTGCATTCTGCTTACTGTGAGGGTGGAATGGAAGGGTGCAGAATGGGGGAGAGGAAATGGGAATGTATAGAATTAATCCAAGTACCAGTCATCTAAACTTGGTAGGGATGGTGTTTATTGAAACTTAAGGAAGTTAAATAAATTTTCTTCTGCTTTTACACAGATGTTCCTGTCACTTCCACTCCAGTCACTGCATTTTACCATGGCTGCATGACTGTGAAGATGAATAATAAGGCACTGGACTTAGATGAGGCTTTTTACAAGCATGGTGACATCACATCACATTCTTGTCCTCCAACTGAGACTGGTCAATAGGTACCACTGCAATGTAGAAGTTTTATATTCAAAAACTTTCCATGCTTTTTTTAAGATATAAATTATTCAGACTTCCCGCACTATGTGTATAGTTTCTCTTAAACACTGAAGTTATGTAGGCGCTACTGATCCTCACAAGTCAAATTGATTATTGAAATATTTCTTTGCTTTGAGGCTTAGAGTTTGTAATATATTTGTAAATAGTTCAGAAGACTAAGATTAATAATCCAAAAGTGAAGATTATACCTAAAGTGAATGTTAAGGCTGTAAAAAGAGGGATAGCTGTAATGCGGAAAACCTGGTAATATGTCAGTGTGAACTAGAAGAAAAATAATATTGCTGTATTATTTTTATTACCAAACACTGCTTTCTGATTTACAAAATAGGAAAGAATAAAATATTTACATAAAATTTCTTAACTGCACTGAGATTGTTTCTTGGGGATATGATTTCAGACTGTGGATGATTTGCAGAGCCGATACCATTTTATTCATATTTCAGTGACTAGTGTGTTCATTGGCCTCTGAAAAACTGTAAGTAGGCTCTAGACAAGAGAGCAAGCTCATATTTAGGTGGCAGGGGAGATGTGTGGGTGTGGGTTTTTTAGGATTTGTTTTGTAAGATGCTGTCCAGAGATAAGAGGCTCAGTCACAACCTTGAGAAAAAGCTCTTGGTCAATGGAGAACTTGAAAGTGAGAGGAAAAATCGGGTCAGCAGGAAACAATTAAAAGGAAAGCCTAGCTCAGGTAGAAGCCAAAGTGTCTTATGTCAGTAATCAGTGAGGCAAGTGATGAAAGCTATCGAGAACAGGGAATATCATGCAGTGATGTAACTTTTGGTACTTCATTTTTAGGCTGGCTCACTCGCCATGAGCCTATAGGAGCGCTGAGGCTTTGTTATTAAGTGTGAGCTACCCAGGCTGAATAGCAGTGTGGCTGAGACTGTGTATGGGCTTATTCACCAGAGGGTGCAGCAGAACAAAGTGTGTTCATTTCCATGCTTACCAGCAAGGGCTCTTCAGGATAAACACAGTAGGCTTTGCCAACGCTGTTTTAGGCGGATCAGACTATCTTTCTCACTGCTGCACACTGGCTCTGTGCAAATTTTTGTGTGTGTTTGTCTACTCACTTTCAGCTGTTGCTAGCCTCCAGAGAGTTTACTAGCATGGGGACAGGTCCTGCAAGGTGCTGAGCATCTCTTGAGATGATGTCATCCAGAGGATTCTAGGATGATTGGAATTCCTCCAGACACACTTGAAAGCATGCAGCACTTGGCCCATATTTTGCATTAGGGTAACAAATTGAGAGTGGTAAATATCTTGTTATGGTTAGAATTCAAACATTTTATGGATGAGGATATCTTGGAGTACAGCTAGAATTTCATGCCTAGTGCAAATAACACTGGGTATGCCAGTGTTTTGATTCAAGATTTTCTTTTTATTTAAGGAATTTTTTTAAATAAACTCTAGATTCGTTAGGTGACAAATTATTTTACAAAGAGAGGCAGAGCAATGACTTCTGGGGCTTGCAAGGGTCAGTATGGCACAGACCCAAGTTTACTAATCTTTTTATAGATATTCTGTAGCACTTTATATATAGTGTTTTACCTGGTCAAAGCTAGAGAGAGGGTCAACAGATTAACCTAATAACCTCCAAATTTGCCCACAGTTGTAGCCAAACTATCCAGATAGAACTTTCCCCAGGAAAAGGATGGGCAACTGGATAGAGAATCTCACATTAAAAAAATCCTTACTGCCAAATGTGTTTGGAAGAGGGATATGGCAGCTGTACTGTATCTATCCACTAGATAATGCAACATCAAGACTGACTGGTTCCCTGAGCCAGACAGTCAAGGGTCATGCAGCAAGACTGAAAAGGTCAGGTCTGCAGCTTCAGTCAGGCAACAAGCTTTTTGTGCTTTAAAGAAGGACAAATAGCAGAAGTCCATGCACATTCAAAGGGGAACAGATAAAAGTTCTGAAGGACATTTATTCACTACAAGTAAATGAAAAAGGAGACAGGCTTACAGGAGGAAGGTGAATAGGTCGTGTATACCAGTAATAATTTCATTTGTCTTACCTTTTGAGGAATGGGGGGGAGAGAAATCCAAATACTCCGGATGCTGCTTCTGTTAGGAGATGATGATGGATCAACTGGTGACATGATTAGGACCTAGGAAATGTTTTATTCAGGTTTCTCATTTCCAGCCTTACTGGGGAATGCATACATATCATAGCCTATGGTGATTCTCTATTGTATTGTTTTTCCTGGTCATTTCAGGTATTTTCCTACATCAATATCCCATCCTTCCAACTTGAAGTAGCTCTAAAGAAAACAGCACAATCTTGGAAGACATCTGACACTTCCTACTAATTGGAGGAACAAAACCCAGTTTAAGCTTTGTTCTTTTCAAAGAGCACCTGCTAGCAAAATAGTTTCACCTCTAGCATTTGTGTTATTTCTGTAGTACTTCGCAAATAAATAGCTGTGAGGCATATGAGTCACAAATCTGTGTGACCTTTGTTAAAGCCAATGGTTATATTTATAGTGCCAGAATTATCTTGGATACTGAAAAGAAGAATTTTGTGGTATGAGGTGGTGCTGTGCAATTCCACACTCAACATTATGTGAGAGACTATAACAGTGTACTGTGCTTAAAAAAGTTAATTGAAATAATTGACATACATGGGAAATGCATCATTTTGATGCAAAAATTGCTTCAATTATTTATGTGTGTAAAGACTTTATACACCTACTTTGTGTGGACAAAAAGTTAGGATTTACAGTATAAAAATATGGAGAATATAGGAATGTGCATTATTTCTAAACGGATGACATCTGTAATACTATACAGCAGCGCTCAGGTGGGGGTGGGGGGGCAGGTGAGGGTGGTGTTAGGGGGGGTTTCTTTCACACACCTTTGTTTTCTAACTGGCAGCAGTGAGATGTCAGAGTAGGACACATACCTACCTCCTCTCCCTCTCAATCAATTGTACAGAAACAGTGAAATCTCCACCCCCCCCCCCTTCTGAAGCAGTTCATGTAGTTCACTAAGCCACTGAAGTTAATGGTGTCAGTCCATTCTAAAACTTAGGGTTGACACCATGTGTCTTCTATGCTTCTAACCAGCCAAAATTCTCATTATACAAAACTGGATATATGTGTAGTTTATTTTGTGCCTGAGGAGCTGATCTGTTTGTTGTCGTTCGTACAGCCATGGAAATCCAAGCACTTATGATAAACTAAAATCACTAGCTCATGTGTTTTGAAAGTAACTTACCCTTCTCTCCACCTTGCTTAAAATCTTTTTTTTTTTTAAGCTTGAGTGCAAAAATTCCGTTTGCCTTGCTCCTGCAAGGCAACTCCCTGTGCCTTCTTCAATAAGCCCAAACCTAACCCTGATCCTTTTCAGAAACCATTCTGAACTGAATAGGTAGGTTTCTCTGGTGCATTTTGAATAACATTTCATATTTTGTATTGAAGTCTTTTTTTTTTGTACATCAATAGAAAACTCATTGATGGATGGAAACTTCCACATAATTTTATGATCTTTTGCTGTGATTTCAGCTGTTCAAATGTTCACATCCTTTGAAGGAAAGCAGTCTAGTATTCTTAATAGATTTTTATTTTTTTTAACTGTAACAACTGCTTAAAAACTTCAAGATAAAATATGTCCCCCTTCCCATTTTGCACTTTGACTGTTGGGAAACTTTTTTTTAAGTTTCCAGTGTGGCACTGGATTAATTGTTGCCCAATGGGCTAGGTCCATGGAGCAAACTACATTTCCTGTGCTGTCCCACAGTCCTGCTGTGGCAAAGAACACTGAGGCCCTCGGGGTACTGCAGGAGGAATCAGCAACTGAGGGAGTCATTAATTAATTATTTTCATCCTTGTTTAAGCACTATCATCACTGAGAATAGTGCTTGCTACTTATCCAGAAGAGGGAGTACAAGATCATGTCTTTCCTTTGGATGCTACCTCCACAGGAGTTACTGTGTGTATGTGTATTTTTAAATTCTCTGTAGTGGGAGGCTGGAAGGGGAAAAACCCCAAAAAGGAATACTCTGAGCACTCACCAATGCATTGCTACAGCTTCAAAACTACTGGACAGGTCTCTTTTTACATAATAATTTAGGTCAACATGCAGCATTGTAGTTTCCATTTTTACTAGAAAAGGAACATTTGCCCCCATCTCATCTGCCTTTTACACTATGGAAAAATACAGAGTTCAGTACTAAGTATTATATACAGGTTCAATACTTAACTGGAAATTGCACCTTTAACTCACCGATATGACATTTTATCATTGTTAGCATTAGCTGGACTGGTACACAATTCAAACATTTCAAACAGAATTAAAACAGCCCTGTTCAAATAAAATTTTATATTTGTACCTTACTTTTCGGAATAGGACAATACTAATTGGGATCTTGACCTCTGAATTTTGCTTCCCCTTTCTTGTGATGTGTACACCGACTTAGGTACAGTATTATGGGTACGTCCAGACTACCCGCCGGATCAGCGGGTAGCGATCGATCTATCAGGGATCGATATATCGCATCTCATCTAGATGCGATATATCGATCCCCGAACGCACTCCCATCGACTCTGGAACTCCACCAGGGCCAGTGGCGGTAGCAGAGTCGACAGGGAAGCCTGCGACCGTCGATCCCGTGAGGTAAGTCGAAAGTATGATACGTCGACTTCAGCTACGCTATTCCTGTAGCTGAAGTTGCATATCTTACATCGACACCCCCCCCCCAGTGTAGACCAAACAAATACAGCATATTTTATTGTTAAATAATTGTCACACAGTATTTATTGGAACAACATTTTTACCAAAAAGGGGCTCTTAACTGAATAGTATAAGGGGGAAAAAAATCTGGTTTCCTTCAATCCAGACTCCCCACTTGTATCCACCAGACTATAAGAGTTCTAATTCAGAAGTATCACTCTATACTGGTTTATGAAAATGGAACCAAGTATTCTAAGTGTTTTTCTTTGTTTCTTCTAGTGAAAAAAAGGTCACTATGTATTATGCTAAGAGAGAAAATCATGCTCATGTTAGCCAGACAGCAATGTCCCAATTGACTACATGCAAACTGTGTGGTGACTGATACCTTCCTCTGGTGACACGCCTGCCTTAGGTTTCCAGTATTCTGGTTAGTTCACAGTGAGTTGGGGTTAAAAGTAGAACAATCATAGAACACAAAACAGTTTCCTTAATAGTCTGCTGCCTGTGCAGCTCAGAGTTTCCAAAGATGTCTTTTAAAAAAAAATCAGTTAAAATGTAATTCTGTGTTCTAGGGTGCATACGGTGGAGGCTTTTCTTCTGGCAGGAAGTAAGTTGGTGTGTATAGTGGCGGGGCATTGGGTGGGAGACCATAGTTCGAGCTTGACTGAGATGGAGGCTGAGTATCATCAGATAAAGAAATATCAGTAGATGATGATGCTGGAAAATGGCTTGCAGGCTGTAATTAAACAAAGAAAAAAATGCCATCTTCAGTAAGGGATTAGAGACATGTTTGCAGCTATACTGTATTAAAATGTACCATTAAACCTCTCAGATATCTTTAATGTGCACATCCCTGTGGTGGTGGTAACGCACACGTTAAGACTGTGACATGCAGTGCATATCGAGGTGAGACAGTTTACACTTATCACTTAAGTTAGTCTTAATATGAGTTTTATGCATACAATTCACCCTTCATCTAGGCAACTGAATAAAATACACTTTTTTTTTTTTTGCAAAAGAGGATGCTCTAGTCCCCCAGGTAAGTCAGTATAGCAGAGTGGGCTTTAAGGGGTATGCAGTTGTTTATTTAAAATTCATATTGCTACCTGGAAACTATCCTAGGGCTGTAGGCATTATATATAATAAGTTACCTCTTTTGATCTCATAAGCCGGTCAGGGCTCTGTACAAACTGTTGGTGGAGTCTGGTATCTTTGATGCAATCTTGTTTGTCTACAAACCACATACAAAATTCTATTTCCCTGAACAGAGGAGCAACCAAACACCAGGGCAGCATCCTTGCTCTCTAACCAAAAACCTCTTTTAGCTAGCAACCTCCCTACCCCCAAAAAAAGGTCTCTCTCTCTAGGCTTTTTCCAGGATTGTGCTCCCAGCTGTGTCTGCTTGTCTCTCTTGTGCTTCTTCACTCTCATATATCCACCTCCCCACTGTGGAGTTCTCTGCCCACTCAGTCCAAATTACGGGGCAGGCTCGCATGCCCCTTGTGTCTTAGCTGTAAGGTGAAGGTGTTTGGCTGTCTATTTTAAATGAGGGGTAGAAGTCATAACAATTTAAGTAAGGTTTAACCTGACCCACAATATCTTATTTCAGTATAGGATGCCTATTCTCTGATCCACTTTATGGCCCTCTGGGTAAGTGTGCGTGGAATGTATGTATGAGATAGATAGATTTGGATATATAATGTATGTGACTGACTGGACTGTAATACTCTGGCTCCTTTTGGATTTGGACTGGAGTGAGGAGCTCTACGTGCTTACAAAGCAGCTCATCTTCAACCATTAATGCTTCACCCACTTTGTTAAAAACAAAAGGGCACATTGACACTATTTTAAATAAGTTTTGCCATTGACTTCAGTGGGGCCAGGATTTCATCCTTGACCCTCAGATGTTAATCACCTGCCATTCCAAGGGTGTCAGCTGAAGTGGTGAGTGCCCAGCTTTGAAGTGCTCAGATTCAAAGACCCTGAAATTTTTCAAATTTAAAAGACTATTTTCAAGGTAAGGGAAATGCAAAATCTGACAAGTAAATGCCACTGTCCCAGGTATTTAACATTTAAAAAATTATCCATAATTTTCTAGAATAGTGGTATTCTAGTACTGGTAACTATTGCACCTAGGTACATTTCTCCTTTGAACAGCACAGTGGATCTCAGATCTGGCATTCTACTCTCTACATGCATGGACCTCAAGGAGAATTCTGTGCAAGCAGAGACATTAAAGCTTTGGAGTCAAGAAGCCTCTGAGAAGATAATTTCCTCCTCTATTTACAGATGGGGTTGATTTAAACAGCTTTAATAAGGCCTGAGAGAGGGGATTTTGTCATAAAAATGTTATCTTATTTCTAAGGATACAAATGCATGGTTACAGCACATACCCTCACAACACCTACTAACCATATTGTAAATGAGAAGTTAAAACATTCTGATATTTTCACACTAGGCCTAGAGTCTCCTCTGTTGTCTAGTTTCTCCTTTGTGAGTATCATCTAGACCAACCACCACTACTGCAATCACAATTATTTGTTCAATTATCCAGTCAGGCGATTAGAGATGTTGCCAATGAGAGTGACTACACTGTAGCATTAGAGTAAACTGTGCTATATGCCAATTTTAGAATTAGCTCTAAGATGGTAAATAAAAAACTCTGGCTTATTATATCTGTGTAAAGCACTTTGTTTTCAAAAATAATATTCTAACAATATGATTCTCTACTAGCTATTCCACAGCCCCTCAGTATGTTGACCAGTTGAGATTAGCACAATGTGGACCTGAGTCTAGTCCCTGAATTTTTAGCTGTTACCTCATGAAGCAGAGACTGCCATGGGATTAAATTATTAAAAGTGCCTAAGTCCCATTTTCCAGAGTTAGGAATTTAGGCCCAGATCCTCAAAGGTATTTAGGCACCTAACTCTGATTTCTAGAGGTCTAAATACCTTTGAGGATCCCTTATGAGGCTAGATCTCAGAGAGACTCAGTGGGACTTACTTAGGCACCCATGGGCTAAGTCTACAAAGCAGGCCACCCAGCACTTAAGTGGCTTTGTATATGCCTACTTGTGGAAACTGTCTCTTTAGGCCTCTAACTCTGAGCACACCCACAGAGTCAGGCCCCACACAAAAGACAGGTGTGTGTGTGTCCTGACCTAGTGGTTAGGGCACTCAGCTGGGATGAGAGACCCCCAACTTCAGATCCCTGCTCATGTGTCGCCTACATTAGTGCCCTAACCCCTGGGCTGCAGCATCACTGCTTGGCTCCAAATGCTGCAGCAGGTACCGCTGGAAAGCCTGGGTGCTTTCAGGGTATCTGCAAGTGAGCTGGGAGACCTGGCCCTGCAGCAAGGAGCCTGGAACCCTTGTGAATTTCAGCTGGCTCCGGGGCTCTCTGGGCTACTAGACTCCCTGCTGCGGGGTGAGCCCTTTTCTCTTAGGCTCATAGCCAGCTTCCGACTCAGGATCCCGTTCTGAGGCAGAAAACTCCCCTTTCAGTGCATGGGAGCCTGGGCGCCTCAGGTGGAGGTGGGGGTTCCACTGTGTCTGGGTACCTAGGAGTTAGACACTACAATGCTCAGCATTGCAACTTGTACATCTCGCCCTATGTCACTTTTGAAAATGGGATTTAGGCACTTTTGAAAACTAAATAACTAACACAGCACCCTCGGTGTGATTAGGTCTTTAGTGTGAAAGCGGCCCAGCAGATGGTAACTGTCATTTCTGCTTGCTGTAAATGTGAGCTAAGCTTTGGGTTAGGACCAAAGATTTACTCAGTAGTGGAGGTGGGTAATGTATAAGAATTTGGCCATTTCAGAACAGATTATTTACAAAATGTCCAAAAATGGAAACAATTATTAGACAGCATGCACTGAACATCTTCACCAATCAGGAGTTTGCTTACATATGTAAGCCTTTATACTAGTGCTGTAACTCATTCCCTCCACACAGTAATGTGAGTGTCTCATACATGGAGCAAGGTTGTTTTTTTCCAGAAGGATTAATAGCTTTCACCTGTGGAGACTAAAGCTTGCATCTGATCTCTCCTGGCATGCAGGTGCTTCCTGCCTCTGATTGTCATGAACAGAAGAAAAAGCAAATGAACACGCTTCCAAAAATATTTAACAATATAGGGAATAAGACTTTTGGATAAAATAGTGACAGATTTATTTTTGAAAGGTGAGGGTTTTTTTATATGCCAGAACACGAAATACTTAATGTTGATGTCTTCAGTTTAGTTATTTTCTTTGTCATATCTTTTGGTTGTTCTTCACACCAATTTCTCTACTCTCAGGTCATACTGATTGGAACTTAATGATAATCTTTAGAAAGTCACAGCTCCATTGCCAGTTGAAAATGATCCCTGCTTACTAGCCTTTCTCTAGCACATTAAGGTCTATAACACACACACAGGAGCGAGTAATTGTGGTGAATTAAATGACCACATTCAGTTTTCAGAATCTAAAGTTCTAAGATTGGAGGATATCATTTTCAGGCATGCAGGTTTTATTTGCATGCAGGCTTTTCTGTGGTGCTTATTACTTTACTTTCCTGGCCTTCATGATGGTAGTATCGGAGCACTTAAACATTAATGAATTTTTATCTGCACTACACTCCTGCGAGGCACAGACTTATTAATTATTTCCATTCTACAGATGAGGAACCAAGGTACAGAGATTAAGTGACATACCTAAGGTCACACAGGAGGTCTGTGGCAGAGCTAGGAACTGACTTCAGGGCCCCCAAGTCCAGTCCTGAGCTTTACCTACAAGTCCTTCCTTTCCATCAGGACTTTGCTGACTTTACAGTGTACCGCTCTGCTGTTGCCCCAGGCAGCAGTTTGTCAATCAATTAAAGAAAGGGCGGTGAGCTGCAGCACCTAGATCAGCAGAGACAGGAAACTCAAGGTCATTTTTTTTTTTAAACGCTGCTGTCATCACAGGCCAATGTCATGGAAGAGCAGAAAGGTGAGGGAGCCAGTAGTTGCAGATGGAGCAGGGAATGCCGGGGATTTCAGGGCAGCAGCAAAGGATTAAACATTAGCTCTTTGAGTAGATGCAGCTGTGAATGCCCTGTGTGTGCACCAGAGAGAAAGAACTTTGCCTAGCAGTACCCGCAGGGGTGGTGCTTATGCCCTGTGGCCGTAGCCCCTCCCCGGCTGTGTACGGGCAACGCCGGCCCAATCCCTTCAGTTCCTTCTCACTGATCGTGGCTAGAGGCCGAGCTTTATGGAATCTTCACCTCCCATTTTCACTCTCCGTTTTCTGACTAGTACCTTAGGCTTAGTTTAAGTGTTAGGAGAATATTTGGCAGCCTTGTGTGATGCCCTCACCAGGGTTCAAGCATTTTCCATCATAGAGGGGGGCCATCCCCAAGAGCAACCCCCACAGCAGATGCTTGTTGAAGGACACATTAAAGAAAGTGGCTCACTCTGCAAGTCAGTCACAAAGAGGATTTGCAGTTGAAGCAGCATCTTTCTGGAGCAAGACATGAGGCCCACTTTGGCTCTGAGGCCCTCATCTGATAGTTGGTCACCTTCAGATCTGGCAAATGATGCCACTCTGCACTTGGTGTCTCCCTCAAGAGGAAAAGGGGTCATTCACTCCCATCTGGTGTGGCCAGGAAGAGGTCCCATAAAATGAGCCGGGACCATTCCAGGGTTCAGCGAGATTCCTCCTCCTCTTCTAGGAGTGCTGACCAGCACTGCACTCCCTCTGGCAGGTGGGATGGAGCAGGTCCATCCACCCGCTCCTCAGTACCATGTGGTGAGCAGCAAGGGCCTGTACTGTTGACTCCAGTTCCAGCCACGGGACATCCATTGAATCTGGTACTGATGATGTTGGCACCAGTGCTAATGGTCTTCACATTGATGGCATATGAGCCGGCATCAGACCTGCTTTGCCTCTCAATCCTGGACCTCTACTAGTTCATGAGTTCTCCGGTGCTATGGCATCTACCAGCTAGTCCTCCATTGTGCCCCTGGCACCCTCTGGATATGTGTCAGAGATGCCGGGTACGCTGGCACTGCAGTTCCTACCACCTGTGCCACAGACTGTGGATTCGAGGTTGGTATTGGCACGGAAAGCGTCCTTGAAGTTGGTGCATCCTTCAGCACCATCATTGTCTTAGCGGCAGATCCCATCATTGAGTGCAGTGCCAGTGCCTCTCCCAGTACCAAGTGGGAGCATGTCCCATTCGATGCCACTGGTGCTGATTCCCCACTCCTCTTCAGCACTGATGCTACCTCCTGATTAGGCTTCAAATGAGTCTGAGTCGTTCTTTGTTCCATCGGGGCTGGCTCCCATATTGTCACCACAGAACCTCCGGAATTCCTCAAGGTCAAGGTCAGGGTTGTCCTTGGATAGGCATCAGAGATCACCCTCAGATCATTATTCGCACTGAGATCGGCATCTACTCCACAGTCAGGACAGTGGTTCTTATCCCAATGCCTTATGCGTATGCCCAGTGGCTTCCTTGGAATCTCTGAGATGTGCCTCGGTCCTGAGGTCACACTCTAGAGCGCGATCACTGTTCCCGACAGTGACTCCCGCTCCCATACCATCTCAGCTGCAATTGACCACTGAGTCCATTCCCCTATCCCCTGGGACCTATGGAGCTCTTCCAACCAGATCCTGTGGTGCAAGAATAGAATCCATCATTGGTGCAGCAAACCGCCTCCCCGGATGAATCTATTGTGCTGGAATCTTCCTCTCCCTCAGTGTACGAGGACTTAGTTTAAGGCATACGAGGGCCTCCCAAGATAGCAGCCATACACCTCAGGTATCCAGGCAGAATTCCTGCCAGAGAGCACACACAAGCTGCTGGATATTCTCCAATCATCAGCTCAAGGGAGAGTAGCCTTCCTGCTAAATGAGGCTCTCAAGGAGCCTGCAAAGGCCTTCTGGAATACCCCAGCTTCATTGTCCCCTATGGCGAAGAGATCAGAGAAAAAGTACTTCATTCCAACACAAGGGTGTGAGGGTTTGTACTCCCA